GAATGAAGGTTTTTCTAGAAGATTCATTTTATAATCAAGTCATTGAGGAATGACTTCAGTAAGGATGTGGTATTTCTAGATAGTTGAGGAAAGAGTTGTTTAGCAAATTGTACAGCTTATTGCTTGTCATATTTCCAGCATTTGGACAAATGTTCCCACAAATACCGTACAGTATTTGCCAGTGTATAAGGCGCTTTTTTTTTCTTTTCTTTTTTTCTTTTTTCAGTGTATCCCAAATTACCCTGCATCTAATGCGCCCGTATTACGGATGGGAAGCCGAGCGCCATAGGCGGAGGTGCCTAGTTAGGGAGTCTGGGACGAGCAGTAGTCCACTAAGCACAAAAATTGTGTTAATAATAATAAAATACTGAAAAACAAGCCAAATTATCACAATCTATTATCACAAACTTGTAGCAAATTTGCTGAAGATGTAAATAATGGCTTAACAGCAGAGGGAAGCTCGCATCATCTCACTGTACCTCCTTCCCCAGCATACGTAACCCACACCAGATACATGTCTTACATTATTTAACGACTGTGTTACCTTTAAGAAACATTTGTTTATTATCTAACTGAAAAATGCCCCTAGAAAGATTAAAGAAATGTTAACAGAAAGTTCAGCCGCCAGTCAGCCATTTTTAATGAGTCGATGACGTCAAAACAATAGTGATGGTGCTGCACCCTGGTGGCCGATCATGGCAACAAAAAACATCACAGCTAAAAATATGTTTCACATCCTGTCGGTGATTCTCTTGACCAAAATATAAACAGCTGCTCTGATCAGAGGTAGAGTTGGGATAGTATAATGTTACTATACTAAGAGATGCATTCCCAAGTGTGACCTTTTCATATCTTTTGTGTGGCTTTTTACCCTCTTTTCCCCTAAAAACAATACAATTAATGAAATTTACAAACTTTATTCTTTAAATATAGTAATGTTTCTGAAGGCACCTTATACAATATAAATGAATAATAATATGGTCACACAAGAGGAGATGGGACGCCATTGTTTTCTTTTGTGTTTACAGCCGGGAGTCCGGGACGATAGTTCTACACTAGAAAATTAAGAAAATAAGACCCTGGTTGTAGCTGTAGTAAAATTAATGTAAAAAAAAATGAATATATATGTTTTAAGTAACGTTATTTATTGTTCATAAATGGAACAATAGAAGTAGGTAATGGCAAAGGAAAAAAAAGAGATGGATTGGGAACGCCAACATATACGTGCACATTTAAGGATACCGCATCATTTATCTTCTTAAGAATATGTACAAAAGATTCATTATTGTTTATTACTGAATATGTATTTGATTGAATTAATCTTTATATATGCAAAATGAACAATACAAATCATTAATAATACGTAGAATAATAAAACACACGAGGATAAGAGATGGCATTGTTGTCAGTGTTTACACCCATAATGTCAGTTATCCACCTGAAACTGAAGATAATAAGACCCTGGTTGTTGTTGTAGTAAAATTGATGTCAAAAATATGTATGTTTTAATTAAAGTTATTTAATGTACAGTAGAAGTAACCACTGATATTAAAGAAAAAGTGCGACATTGGAACGCCAATGTATACTTGCGCACTCAAGGAAACAGTCATTTATCTTAAGATTATGTTTAAAAGATTCATTATTGTTTATTACTGAATATGTATTTGATTGAATTAATGTTTATACTGTGGTCCCTCGGTTAACGAACACAATTTGTTCCAGAAGGTCGTTCGTTAACCGAAACCATTGGTTTAATGGGATTTTGGGTAATTGGTTCCAGCTCACCGAAAATTACATACAAAGTAAAAATAAATCCAGTAAAGTACACTTACTTTGAGGTGTGTATGTAGAAGGCTCCTGGTTGATGATGGGAATTAGAAGTGGGGGTGGAAGAGAAATCACCCCATACTTCATGCCATCATTTCACCCATAAAATTTTAAGTTCACTAGGTGTAATTCAAGATAATTTTCTTTAAATCAACACTGCACTATATATTGTCAATATGTAAAATAAATTTCAGAATGATCAATAATTGTACTGTAAAAACATAAAAATAGTTTATGTTCAAGAGAGCCACAAGCAAGATGTTACCTCCACTGACCAGAGATATAAACTGACGCCTTGCTGGGTGGCCACCAGACGAATACGAGCGGCAAATTTAAATGCTCTTGAGCGCGTTATTTCAAAAGTAGGTGTGCGTAACTTAGCTTTTGGTATTAATTGAACAATCGCGTTATTCCAAAAACATTTAAATCAAACGCGCGTAATACGCGAGTTACCTGTTACATTTGCTTTTATTTGTGTATACATTATTTAATTTAGGACTTTTTATCTCATCCTTTTTTGGGGTTGCATATGAATAGAGATTAGCTCCATGCATGTTTAGTGCCTCGATGTGGAGAGTGGCTATGTGCTTTTGACAATCATTTGGTAATTCAGCACATGAATAAAGGCCTACTTTATCAGTTATTTCCTCGTACTAATCTTCTAGTTTGTCCAGCTCTATTACCATCCTTTTCTTGTCTTAACACAATAGATTTCCTTTGGTTTTTTTGGTCACAGTAGCACTCTTGTCACTTAATGCTTACTTTGCACTTTTGATTGTGAGTGGTGCCACTGGTAAATCATGAAAGAACAACAAAGTTCAGTAAGTCAGCAGAATGTTCCTGTGAGGTGAATGGGAACCAGCACAAAGTACAGTACTGTACTGGGGTGTGAAGAAACTTCATCCAGATCGTGTTGGACCAGAAATCGTTCGTATTTTGTGTAGTCTGTTCCCAGATTAGTGAATTGTACAAAAAGAAAATCATGTGCAAGCGCATGTCAGCTGAGGAATATCTGAATATATTGGTAAGTCATTTCGTGGGTGGCTCAGTCCAGAAATAGATTTTTAGGATCAAACCCTCATTTAACTTCTGATAAACATATTGTCCAAAAAAATATTCAATGCACCTAGATCAAACCACTGATACATTTATGTTGTCAACTGTGAATTCATGGTTTAGACTTTGGAGGCTTCATTTTGAGTATGACATTAGCAGTCTTATGAATCACATTGTTATCTCTTTTAAGTAATATAACAAGATATCACAAACTTAAGTCACTCTGTTTATGTGCTGCACAGGTTTGAAAGCTTTATCACAAAAGGGAAAGAATTTTGAGGTTTAGGTAATGCATGTAAATTTCATTTATTCTTGCTGTAATATTTTCTTATGCTCATTATTGTGAACTGCACATGATTTAATATAGTACAGTACAGTATTGTATTTATACAATATACTGTATATACAGGTATGGGACCATTTACCCGACATCCAGGTACCCATAATGCTCCAAAAAGCGGCTATGTTCTGGAATGAATTATTTAAATAATAATTCCCGAGTGGGGATATTTCCAGCCACTCCCAACCTGTGAGGTTCTATGTTATTTTATGGTTACTTTTTAAATAGTAATTTTGAGTAGATACTGTACATTTAATTTACTTTCTTTTCTTTTTTTTTTTTACTCAGTAACATGCACACACAATCCTACATACAAAAAGTGCATAAAGAATTGATTGATTGGGTAGAATATGCAGAGAGAATTAAAAGTAATACTTATCATAAGGTATAAAGTTTTAAGTGTTTATGAGTGTCCACCATGAAGCTTTGTAGAAAGTGTGTGAAGCTTAGAGGGTCCATGGCAGAGGAACAATGCTAGGGACTCTGCTGTGTTGCTAAGGTGACTGCAACGCATTTTGTGCACTAGTATAATTTTTACTATTTTTATGCTTTCATTAATTCTATTTATATGGTTGTGTTATTGATGTTTATATGCCAACAATTTTAAGTTTTAATGATACAGTGTACAGTTAAAGTTACTTTAGAAGTGAATCTAGTGATCTGAACAGAGGCTTCACAACCAGTTACAGTGACCCCTCGGTTAACGAACTCAATCCGTTCCAGAAGGTCGTTCGTTAACCGAAAAATTCGTTAACCGAAACCATTGTTTCAATGGGTTTTTGGGTAATTGGTTCCAGCTCACCGAAAATTTCCTAAATTCAACAAAAATGGTAGAAAAGTTCACTTACTTTGAGGTGTGTATGTAGAAGGCTCCTGGATGATGGTGATGATGTGCATTTGAAGTGGGAGGTGGAGGAGGAGAAGGGAGAAGAGAAGGCATTGGGGTGGAAGAGAAGTCACCCCATGTCACCATTTCACCCATAAAATTTTAGTTCTCTTGGTGTATTTCAAGATTATTTTCTTTAAATCAACACTGCACTGCATTATATATTGTCAATATGTAAAATAATTTTCAAAATGACCAATAATTTGCTTGGAAACACAGATAAAAGGCGTTTAGTTGAAGAGAGTCTCAAGCAAGATGTTACTTCCACTGAAAACAGAGAGAGACTAACGCCTGTTTACTGTGTTAAGAGGCTGGATGCCGCGCATTAAACTAGTCACTTTACCTTCAATTATGTTCAATAATTGTTAAAATGACTAAAAAATTGAATATTAAACTTTTAAAATTGTTGAATAGTATAAACTTCTTGATATTTACTAAAATAGTAAGGAATTTAAGCCCTAGAACCGATTAATGTATTGGCGGACTGATACTAAAGCTGGTTGCCCGGTCAGTACAAGCGAAAACATGTTGAGGTCGGTTCGTAAGAAATTCGTTAACCGAATTTTTGTTCGTTAACCGAATTGAAGATCTTTATGGAAGACAGTTCGTTAACCGAAATTTCGTTAACCGAGGCGTTCATTAAACGAGGGGTCACTGTACAGGGGTTTTATTTACTTTGTAGGTTTGACTCTCCAAATTCCAGAAAAATCGCCCATTCGGCAACCCCCAGGTCCCAAGCATGCCTGATAAATGATTCCATACCTGTGTGTGTGCGTGTTTTTTCTTTGTTAAAAATAATGACATATACTGTACTATTAATTTTTATGAATGTAAACGTGATTATAGGGTAGTCTAATTTTAGATTACTTACCTGTTATTTTTTTTATTCAGGGCCGAGCAAAGGGAGATTTTGATGTGAAAGAGTTTCATAATGATTTACGGGAGACCTGTATTGACCTGATGTCCCGCTACACTTATGCATCTTGTACTCCAATCCCTAGAAGGTAATGCCATTACTCAAATTCATGTTGACTGCTTCGGTATGTTTAATGAGACTAGACAGTAGGAACATTATAGAATCTAGGAATGCATGAAGAAGTGTGTGTGTAAACTTTAATAACAGATAAAGTAAGTTAGATAGATAGAAGGAAAGCTGTGAAGCGATGCACTGTTTTATTGTAATAAGAGATTCTGACAGTATAAAAAAAGGTGTAAATGACGTGGTTATGAGTGTTACTGGTCACTGGTTGAAAGACTGCAATTTTATAGTCCTGTTGGGATACAGCCCAGCCTAATTATTAGGAAAGGGGCTGTTCTAATGGGCCCTGTTAAGAAGTCCTATTTCTAATGATTAGATTAGTTTATGTTGGGGTTCAGTAAATTGTGATCAGTTTGATCTATAACTGCATTGTTCAAAACAGACCACTGTACTTTATAATGAACTTCAATTATTTATTTATTTTTTAATAATTAATTGAGCATGTATGGATCTCAGGGGTGCAGTTGCTAAAATGCTCGTGGCAGGAGGCTTGGATCAAACATGGATGGTGGGCAACAAGATAATAACTATCACAACCTCTGGATGTTCACAAAGGCCTCTTCGAAGTGGCCTTTGTGATAAGTGCATACAGTTCTGCAGTGTGGACAAGAGTGAGTAGTATTTTATGACTTATTGTAACTTGTACTGTGGATTCTGTCATTTTGTCATATCGACATTGTGCCGTAGAATTGTCCCAGGAATACATCCTGCAATTTACTGCACGTATTTGAGAATCACCTTGTATATAGTATATGCAAATAAGTTGCATATTCAATGTTGTAATTGAACATGACATTCTTTAATTTAACCAGGTGGCACTCTCCCTGAGCCATGCACTTCCATTGGCACAAATGTCAGCCGCAGGCGACATCGTTCTGAACTACACAGGACTATATCACATGAGGTAAGTTACCGTATTCGGTATTTAAGGCACACAGCCATATAAGACGCAGCCCCCCCATTTTAGGAGGGAGTACAGTATTTAGGAAAAACTTTTGTATGTATTTTCCTCCTTTAGCCATAGTTTTTTGGGGGTTTTTAAATATTATATATACAGTTCCAGTAAAGGTGAGGATTAGATAAAACTAATACCAATAAATAACTTACAAAAAAATACTGTATTGCCAAACCAGGAATTAAGATCCAAATGAAAGTTTAACACAGTCGCCATTTGCATATACAGGTTGTACCTCTCTAGTCCGGCAACCTCGGGACCTGACCAGTGCCGGACCATGGAAATTCACCCTTTTCCTGGATAGATAGTGACTTGTGCTTATGCTTGGAAGCAGTAGCACCACTTTCTCTGCATCATGGTCTCTTTGAAGACATATTGAAGGGTTAAATGTCGTATAGTAGCTTCTCAAATTTTAATTCAACATATTTTATTGGAACACATAAAAAAAAAAAAAAAAAATTTTGACGGTGGAAACTTGAATTTCGACGGGTTTGAACGGTCCGCCAACGTGCAGACGACGTGCATAATCGTGTAAACAGCGTCATTTCTCTTATGTACAAAAGATTCATTATTGTTTATTACTGAATGTCTTTTTTATTGAATTAATGTTTATGTGTGCAAAATGAGCAATACAATTCATTAATAATACGTAGAATATTAAAACACACGAGGAAATGAGATGGCATTGTTTTCATTAATTACAAAACCAGTGACTGATTGGTTCTACATATAAAACAAGAAAAGTTTGACCCTGGTTGTAGCTGTAGTAAAATTAATATGGTTGTTTTAAGTAATGTTATTTAATATTAATAAATGGAACAATAGAAGTAGCTAACGATAATGGTAAAGAAGAAAGAGAGATCGCTTATGTAAGTGCGCACACGTGAAAACATATCGTCATTACTTTACATAAGAATATGAAAGCAACACTTATTTACTGTTCATATATATTTTAATTAATGTTTCTGAATTTGTTTTTATTGAATTAATGTTTGTGTGTGCAAAATTAACAATACAATTTATTAATACAGGTTGTACCTCTCTAGTCCGGCATTCTGTGGTCCGGAAACTCCTGTGGTCCGGAACGATTTTAGTTTGTCCAATAGGTAGATAGGCAGTTTTTTTACTTATCTGAATTATTATTATTATTACAGGAGTATTAAATTTTTGCCCCTCAGGCCCCAATGTGGGTCAGTGACCTATGCCCGGGTGGGCTAATCCCCTTAAAAAAAAAAAAAAGCCGCGGGAAATTAAGGTTTGTTTACATCCGGCAGTTCGGCTGCTCTCTCTCTCTCTCTCTCTGCTTGTCTATACAGAGTACAACATTTAACCCTTCAATATATATGAGCAGTAAATAAGTGTTGCTTTCATATTCTTATGTAGAGCAATGACGATATATTTTCACATGTGCGCACTTACATACGAGCAGTCTCACTTTTTTTTCACCATTAATGGTTAGCTACTTATATTGTTCCATTTATTAACATTAAATAACATTACAGGTACTTCAAGCAGCCATATTCATTTTTTACATTAATTTTACTACAGCTAAACTCAGGGTCTTATTTTCTTCAGTTTTATATGTAGAACCAATCAGTAACTGGTTTTGTAAGCTTTAACATAAACAATGCCGGCAGCCGTCTCGTCTCCTCTAATATTCCACGTATTATTAATAAATTGTATTGTTAATTTTGCACACACGTACATTAATTCAATAAAAACAAATTCAGAAACATTAATTAAAATATATATGAACAGTAAATAAGTGTTGCTTTCATATTCTTATGTAAAGTAATGACGATATGTTTTCACGTGTGCGCATGCGCACTTACATATGCGATCTCTCTTTTTCTTTACCATTATCGTTAGCTACTTCTATTGTTCCATTTATTAACATTAAATAACATTACTTAAAACAACCATATTAATTTTACTACAGCTACAACCAAGGTCTTATTTTCTTCAGTTTTATATGTAGAACCAGTCAGTCACTGGTTTTGTAATCAACGAAAACAATGCTGTGTCATTTCCTCGTGTGTTTTAATATTCTACGTATTATTAATGAATTCTATTGCTCATTTTGCACATTCAGTAATAAACAACAATGAATCTTTTGTACATAAAAGAAATGACGCTGTTTACACGATTATGCACGTCGTCTGCACGTTGGCGGGCCGTTCAAACCCATCGAAATTCAAGTTTCCGCCGTCAAAATTTTTATTTATTTATTTTTTTGTGTGTTCCAATAAAATACGTTAAGAATTAAAAACTCGCGAAATTTGAGAAGCTACTATATGACATTTAACCCTTCAATATGTCTTCAAAGAGACCATGATGCAGAGAAAGTGGTGCTAGTGCTTCCAGGCATAAGCACAAGTCACTATCTATCCAGGAAAAGGGTGAATTTCCATGGTCCGGCACCGGTCAGGTCCCGAGGTTGCCGGACTAGAGAGGTACAACCTGTAATACGTGGAATATTAAAACACACGAGAAGACGAGACGGCTCCCGGCATTGTTTTGTTAAAGCTTACAAATCCAGTGACTGATTGGCTCTACATATAAAACTGAAGAAAATAAGACCCTGATTGTAGCTGTAGTAAAATTAATGTAAGAAAAGTAGTATAGTTGTTTGAAGTACCTGTAATGTTATTTAATGTTAATAAATGGAACAATATAAGTAGCTAACAATTAATGGTAAAAAAAAAGTGAGACTGCTCGTATATAAGTGCGCACATGTGAAAACATATCGTCATTACTCTACATAAGAATATGAAAGCAACACTTACTTACTGCTCATATATATTGAAGGGTTAAATGTTGTACTCTGTATAGACAAGCAGAGAGAGAGAGAGAGAGCAGCTGAACTGCCGGGTGTAAACAAACCTTAATTTCCCGCGGCTTTGTTTTTTGTTTTTTTTCGGGGATTAGCCCACCCAGGCATAGGTCACTGACCCACATTGGGGCCTGAGGGGCAAGAATTTGATACTCGTGTAATAATAATAGATAAGTAAAAAAAAAAATAAAAAAAAAAAAAAAAAAAAAAAAGCTGCCTATCTACCTATTGGACAAACTAAAATCGTTCCGGACAACGGGAGTTTCCGGACCACAGAATGCCGGACTAGAGAGGTACAACCTGTACTCCCTGCTTCACCATAGCACTGGAGACCAGCTACCTCCACTAATTCCCTCAACGCTCCCCTCCCACATGCTGCATCCTCCTCCCTCTTCCCCCTGAGCCAGCTAACTCTAGTGCAAAGAAATGTATATTCCCTTTATGTGCTTGCTCTTCGGACAATTATTTCTTTTCTTTTTTCACAATATGTATGTAGGGTGGTATGTGCATGTAACTGAGTAAAAATAAGTTAACAAAGTTATGTATATATACCTGAAAATGCGAGTTGAAAGACAACCAAAACACCTCCCAGTTTGGCCCACAAGCTTGATGGTTACAGTAACAAGCCTAACCTGGCTACAATGCAGCCAGCGATGTTAACAGATGCAGGCGTGAAAAGAAAGTTCTCTGTAAATCTTCATTTGTATCAGGTATTTGTAGATTTAAAAATAAATGTTGCAGGTATGGCATTACTAGATTGTAATGCTTGTAAGAGTTCAGAAATGGTTACTGCTTAGCTACCTGTGAAGTGTTGGGTATCTGCCATATGGATGTTAATCATCTCAGGTTATCATCATCAGTACAGTAGTTTTAAATCAAGCTTTTATGTGTACAATAATTATTTTTATTAATTAAAAATAATAATTATGTGTTTAAGTACCGTATATCTCGGCTTATAAGACGGAATTTGAACATTAAAAAAATCTGCCCAAAGTTAGGGGGTCGTCTAAACCACCAAGTATAAAATTCTTACCTCTTAGATATTGTGGTTTAGTGTGTCAAGAGTGGTGATGGAAACATCGTAAGCCACTCACAAGGTCTTACCACTAATTATTTTATACTGAAACTTACGTTTGGCAAGCTGGATTCAAATTAAGATTACCGGTATATTAAAATAATAAAAATGTATTATAAACCTGTCTAACATACCATAAAAGAGAATTATACCCCTGTAATAAACACAGCTATCATCACACACCCCTCCCCACGCCCCCCACCCCCCATTTGCCAGTGAGGAGACAAGAAAGGGAAAGTGACCGCGAGATTGGGCTATTTTTAGCCGTGGAGGTGGTCAGTAATGCATATCGGTATATTTACTGATAATAATACTTATCTCCTATAAATAATTAATTTAAAATTTATTTTTTTACAAGGAATATTCAGTAAATGACTGCATTAATTCTTGAAACTACTGACAGTTAAATACAGACGCTTAAGTGACGTCACTAGTGTTTACACTACACCAGCTGGTAACATTTGATGCCATTACTTGAAGTGAATTGGCCTTATTTTAAGTAACTAAAAATAAATACAAAAAGTAAAAAAAAGATCAAAAGTGAGAAATAATATACTATATGTATGTTGTGTTGTCAAAGTTAGAGGAACAATTCAAACTGCAATTGGGTGTAAATGAGGCAGAAAGTCAGGTCAGCGCTGAACCTGGGACTTGGTCACAATTTTCGTGATGCCATATGGCAGCAGGGTCAACCATTAGACAACACATTATGCTTCCAATATCTTCCCAGGCGGTAGTATCTACCTGTTTGGTAGCTGCCTACTACCTACACAATTTTTAGTAATATTACTTTGATACATGATAAATTAGACAATGAAAATAAACATCAAATTTAATTACCAAGAACCTTCCCATTGGCAGCTGTAAGAAGAGGGGGAGATGGGCTATTTTTGTCCCGTCTTTGTGTCTGAAGTGGCCAGTAATACCATGTATTTACTGATCATAATACTTATCTCCTATAAATAATTAATTTAAAATTTATTTTTTACATAGAATATTCAGTAAATGACTTTTAAATAAATAAACAAATAATTCGGTAAATCTATTTCAAGTAAATGGAAAATAAGCAAACAAATGTTATTTACCACCACCCTTCCCTCTGGCTCAGGGTGAGGTGGAGGGGAGATAAAGAAGGCTATTTATAGCCCGTCTTTGTGTCTGAAGTGACCAGTACCCTAATGCACCATAAATAATTCATTTAACATTTATTTTTTGTACATATATTTTGTTGTATATATATGTACAGTGGGGTATGCTATAACGAATCTAATTGGTTCTAGAACCTTGTTCGTTATAGCATTCGTTCGTTATAGGATTAATCCGTTCCAGGCCCCCAAATACAACCACTTAACACTGAAAAATATAATATAAAATTGTAAAAATTGTAAAAAAGTGCATAAATATGCATCGAAACCCCTGAAATAAAGAATATCATTAATACTTGTAATAAAAAACAATAAATTAGTAAAAAAAAAAAAAAAAAATTTTTTTTTTTTAAATGTTCGTTGTAGAGTTTCGTTCGTTATAGCATTCTCAATTTTATAGGTAAAACCGTTCATTATAGGAATATTCGTAGTAGGATCCGTTCGTTATAGCATACCCCACTGTATATATATACTGTATATACAGTATTACCCCGCCTAACGCGGTTTCACTTAGCGCGTTTTATCATATACGCGGTGCCTCGCCAGAGCTGAACTTTCACTTAACACGGATTTTTTCATCATATACGCGGTGAGTGTCCGGCTCGAGACGCTATTTTTAGATCTTTAGTCATTGCATAGTGGTAAAAGGTGTTAATTGTTTTTCATCAAAAAACTGAGAGCGCATATTTATCCATTTTATAACGGTCATTGCCTGTACAGTGGTCCCTCGGTTAACGAACGCCTCGGTTAATGAACGCCTCGGTTAACGAAATTTCGGTTAACGAACTGCCTCCCATAAGATTCTTAAATTCGGTTAACGAATTTCTTACGAACCGACCTCAACATGTTTTCGCTTGCACTGGCCGGTCAACCAGCTTTAGTATTAGTCCACCAATACATTAATCGGTTCTAGGGCTTAAATTCCTTACTATTTTAGTAAATATCAAGAGGCTTATACTATTCAATAATTTTAAAAGTTTAATATTCAATTTTTTAGTCATTTTAACAATTATTGAACCTAATTGAAGGTAAAGTGACTAGTTTAATGCGCGGCATCCAGCCTCTTAACACAGCAAACAGGCGTTAGTCTCTCTCTGTTTTCACTGGAGGTAACATCTTGCTTGAGACTCTCTTCAACTAAACGCTTTTTTTCTGTTTCCAAGCAAATTATTGGTCATTTTGAAATATATTTTACATATTGACAATATATAATGCAGTGCAGTGTTGATTTAAAGAAAATAATCTTGAAATACACCAAGAGAACTAAAATTTTATGGGTGAAATGGTGCGACTTCTCTTCCACCCCAATGCCTTCTCTTCTTCCTTCTCCTCCACCACCATTCTAATTCCCATCATCATCATCATCCAGGAGCCTTCTACATACACACCTCAAAGTAAGTGAACTTTTCTACCATTTTTGTTGAATTTAGGCAATTTTCGGTGAGCTGGAACCAATTACCCAAAAACCCACTGAAACAATGGTTTCGGTTAACGAATTTTTCAGTTAACGAACAACCTGCTGGAACGGATTGTGTTCGTTAACCGAGGGACCACTGTACTGGCATATATTCATTCCACTAAAAGGAATTCTGTTAAAAGGAATGATTACTGTACCCTAATACCTGTGGTGGCCACACCTAAGACCATTAGATGCAGTATCTGTTAGATGCTGTAGTTTCACTGTAGTGTCAACTTCCTACAGCTGAAGACATGAGTACCCAAGCATCATGAACTTTCATTTCCATGGATTTTCTGTCCATTGCCGTCTACGTTGACTCTTATGAAATTATACGGTTTACTTACATATCATTACTATAATTTGTGTTCTCTGTCTTGTCTAGGCTTTTATATTTATCTACTAATATTACTGTTTACGATGATGTGGCTTCTCATATCAAAATTTTTTTTATCTGTAGGCCAAGTATAAGCCCCAGAGTAAAGATGACTTGCACATGCGCACTGTAAAGAGAGACTGTGGAGATGGCCTCACTCCTCTAGTTGACCAAGGCAAGTACAATGTTCTGTTCTCATAATTTATTCTTTTTTGTTATATTTTTATATTTGAGGGTGTATGTTGCCCGGAGAATGTTCCTTTGCAAACAGGTATTGATTATTAACTTGATAACTTCAAATGTAATTCAACCCTTGGTACTCTTGGCATGTTATACATTTGTGTTTGTCCCATAAATGAAACTGTTACCAATTTTCAGCAATAACATGAAAATATCTCTGCTTATGAGGATTGGCTCATCCAGTGAAGAAGAATTAAGAAAATGTGAAGAAAGACACAAATGTAAACAGTTTAAACAAATAAAAAAACTTGCAAGTTCTGAAGACAATATGTTGATTTAGAAGGTACTGTATATAATGGCAAATCCTTAAAATGAATTGGGTCAAGTATGAAAAATATTATTTTTGAAAATTAGCACAATTTTATTTTACACTTGTTGTTTACTGCAAATTGTTGTACAGCAAAAGGACTTTCAGAAAAATTCCAGTCCTTTAAACAAATATACCTTAAGTGTCAATGATAGAGTTTTATAAATACAAAGCATAAATCAATACTGGTATTGGTATAACCTTTGAAAATCTGTGATTTTTTGTGTGTGTGAATTTTGAAGATACATGTTTCATCTTATCAAGCTCTTTGTAAGAGTTTACGTTAGCCATTGATATAAAATAATAGCACACACGTACAGCACGCCCTTAAAATTTGCGGGGGTTAGGTTCTCAAAATGGCCACGAATAGCCAAATCCGTGAACAACATTTGCTGACCAAGGGAAGGTATATATTTACTTGTGTGCAAAGAAATGTATACAGTAAAGCCTCGCTTAACGTCGTGGTTCCGTTCCTGAAAACCATGACATTAACAGAAATAACGTTAACTGAATCAATTCTCCCCATAAGAAATAGGTAAAATACAGGAGTTACGTTCCCCAGCTTCCCTTTGCCCCATAAAATACAATACATATACATAAATTAAATGGAATTTTTGTAGAAAATAGTACAGTGGTCCCTCGGTTAACGAGCACAATCCGTTCTAGAAGGTTGCTTGTTAACCGAAAAACTCGTTAACCGAAACCATTGTTTCAATGGGTTTTTGGGTAATTGGTTCCAGCTCACCGATAATTGCCTAAGTTCAACAAAAAGGGTAGAAACGTACACTTACTTTGAGGTGTGTATGTAGAAGGCTCCTGGATGATGATGATGATGGGAATTAGAATGGGGGTGGAGGAGAAGGGAGAAGAGAAGGCATTGGGGTGGAAGAGGAGTCACCCCATGGTGCCATTTCACCCATAAAATTTTAGTTCTCTTGGTGTAATTCAAGATTATTTTCTTTAAATCAACACTGCACTACATTATATATTGTCAATATGTAAAATAAATATCAAAATGACCAATAACTTTCTTGGAAACACAGAAAAAAAGCGTTTGGATGAAGAGAGTCTCAAGCAAGATGTTACCTCCACTGAAAAGAGAGAGAGACTAACGCCTGTTTGGTGTGTTGCCAGGCTGGATGGATTGCCAGAAACTAGTTTCTTTTCCTTCAATTATGTTCAATAATTGTTAAAATTACTAAAATATTTAATATTAAACTTTTAAAATTATTGAATACTGTAAACTTCTTGATAATTACTAAAATGGTAAGGAATATAAGCCCTAGAACCGATTACTGTATTGGCGGACTAATACTACAGCTGGTGGACCGCCAAATGCAAGCGAAAACATGTGGAGATCGGCTCGTAAGAAACTCGTTAATCGAGGGATTGCTCGTTAACCGAAGTTAAGAATCTTATGGAAGGTAATTCGTTAACCGAAATCTCGTTAACCGAGGCGCTCGTTAACCGAGGCGCTCGTTAACCGAGGGACCACTGTATATATTATTGTAAGGTGTTTTCTTGAAGGGAAGGAGAAACACCGTGTAGCGGCTGAGAACTTTAATGTAGAGATCCGAGCTACAAGCCTGACAGGCGGCAACTGACGCCGCAGACTCTCTACTACCAGAGGTTGCCAGGTAGCGCCAACATAATAATGTCTACATCTTACAATTATACATCCAAAAAGATAAATAAACTAAATCATTTTGTATTGTACTCACTGATAGGCTGAGGTGGAGCGAGTGTGTGGTGGGTAGTGGAGAGGAGGAGGGTGGCGAGTCATTGAGGCCCAGAGGGTGGCTCTTCCTCCTGCTCTGACTGGGTGAGAGAGGGTGATGCACCGTACAAAATAGTCCGTGACGACGTTGTACCGAATCGGCGGGACGTTGTCCGAATCAAGGGTATCTAAAGAGTAGCGACGTTATAACGAAACAACGTTGTCAGGGGCAACGATAAACGAGGACTTACTGTATTCCCTTTGTGTTTGCCCTTAGGACAATTATTTCTTTTACCTGTATTGTATATACTGTATGTGTGTGTGTGTGTGTGTGTGTGTGTGTGTGTGTGTGTGTGTGTGTGTGTGTGGGCACACACACACACACAACACACAAATAAATAATAATGGGAAAATCCTCTCTCAAATAATGAGAAACAAGACAACAAAACATATTAAAAATGTGAGTCTACCCTCAAGTCAACTTGCTTTGTTATAACAGAAGAAGTTCATACATGAGGCAGGTGATCTGGTACCATTGTATGAGGAAAAGTTGACATATGTTTTCAATGGCTAGTTTTTGTAAGATATATGATTGGAGATTGCTAACAATACATTTATTGAATGGTTTATAACTTCATTAGTGATAATGTGTAAAATGTGGGAATAGTATTATTTTGAGAAATATATGGCATTGCTGCAGAATGATTCATAACTGGGGTTCCAGACGAATATAATCGATTCTTCACACTGTTGACTACAACGAGTATCTTCTATGCTTAATGACACATTCATTATAAATCATAATTAGCGCGACTGTAAATCTGAAGCTGCAGAATGCATTTGTATAATATGCAGGACTTTTTCTAGGTAATCTGATGAATAATTGCATTAAAGTTTAATACAGTGATCCCTCGGTTAACGAACGCCTCGGTTAACGAAATTTTGGTTAACGAATTACCTTCCATAAGAATCTTCAACTCGATTAACGAACAAAAATTCGGTTAACGAAATCCTTACGAAATCGTGTCAACATGATTTCGCCTGCTTTCGCCTGCTCACCAGCTGGAGTATTAGTCTGCCAATACAGTAATCGGTTTTTGGGCTTAAATTCGTTACCATTTGAGTAAATATCAAGAAGGTTGTACCATTCAATAATTATCCAAGTCTTATATTAAAATTTTTAGTCATTTTAACAATTATTTAACATAATTGAAATACAGGGAACTAGTTTTTAGCACTCCAAACAGCCACTTAACTCACCCAGAATGGCTTCAGTTTGTGTGTCTGCTCAGTGGAGGAAGCATCTTGCTTGAGACTCTCTTGAACATAAACTATTTTTATATTTTTACAGAACAATTATTGGTCATTCTGAAATTTATTTTACATATTGACAATATATAGTGCAGTGCAGTGTTGATTTAAAGAAAATAATCTTGAATTGCACCAAGTAAACTTAAAATTTTTTGGGTGAAATGGCGGCATGAAGCTTGGGGTGATTTCTCTTCACCCCGCTGCCTTCTCTTCTCCCTTCTCCTCCACCCCCACTTCTAATTCCCATCATCATCATCAGCAACCAGGAGCCTTCTACATACACACCTCAAAGTAAGTGTACTTTACTGCATTTATTTTTACTTTGTATGTAATTTTCGGTGAGCTGGAACCAATTACCCCAAATCCCATTGAAACAATGGTTTTGGTTAACGAAATTTTCGGTTAACGAACGATCTTCTGGAACGAATTGTGTTCGTTACCCGAGGGACCACTGTATGTTAAATAAATTTCAGAATAACCAATAATTGTACTGTAAAAATGTAAAAATTCTCTGTGTTCAAGAAACCCACAAGCAAGATGTTTCCTCCTCTGTACAGAGAGTTAAACAGATGCCTTGGTGGGTGAGTGAAGTGGCTGATGGGCCCACCAAAAACTAGTTCCCTGTACTGCATATATTATCAAATACGTATGTTAAATAAATGTTAAAATGACTAATAATTTTAATATAAAACTTGCAAAAATATTAAAGAGTGCCACCTTCTTGATATTTACTCCAATGGAAACAAATGTAAGCCTAGAACCAATTACCCTGTACTGTATTGGCGGACTAGCCTACCAGCCGATGCGCAAGCCAAACATGTTGTCGTAAGGATTTCGTTAATCAAATCTTTGTTCGTTAACCGAATTGAAGATTCTTACGGAAGATAATTCTTTAACCGAACCGTTCGTTAACCGAGGGACCACTGTACATGGTAAAAATTTCAATCACATAGTGAAAAAAATTAAAGAAATATTCTTTTTAGAATTGGCTGAAAATTTCCATTTTGTACAAAAAATAAATCATGTCAATTATTTCCAAACTAATGGTCATAATTAAACTTGCACAAAATCAGTTTTATGATTTCACATAAATTTTTAAATAACTGAAGATACTGTATATGCAGTAAGCCCTCAAAGATCTGGACCCAGAAAATCCAGATTTCAGAAGGTTCAGACAAAATATGGGGGTTCTGGGACTAAGAAGCATTTCCAAAACAGAGCAAAGATCATCTTCGGCCCATGTAACTAAGATGTCAGCGCGTGGGACACAGGTGCCCGAGGAGGTGGGAAACATAACAGTTCTCAATTGTGGCTTGTAAGAATAATATTGCACTCATTCTGGTAATGATACAATGTTTTTTATTACAGTATGTTAATGTATGTAAATGCAAATGGTGTACGTGTATATACAGCATGTCCTTCAAATTCGCAGGGGTTAGGTTCTCAAAATGGTTGCAAATCGCCAAATCCGCGAATAACATTTGCTAAGAAGGGGGGGGGGGTACATTTTTACTTGTGTGCAAAGAAATGTATATTCCCTTTATGTTTTAGCCCTTAGGACAATGCTTTGTTATTAATAAATCACGGAGTAGACTTTAGGGTAGACTCACATTCTTAATAAATTTGTTTCTGATTGTTTGTGGGAGGATTTTTCCCATTATTATTCATTTGCATGTGTTTTGTGGGTGTGTTTCTACACACACACACACACACACACACACACACACACACACACACACACATACATACATACATATACAATTCAGGTATAGAAAATTGCTGTCTCTAGAACAAATGGCACTCTGTCCTGGCCGGAAAAATGCCGGCAACTTTAAAACTACCCACAAACATTCTTGGGTACATCCAGGGTGTCATCCACGAATAATAGAGGACTGCGAAATAAAAATCCATGAATTATCCGGGCGTACTGTAATTTGTTTATGACTGTACTCGTCACTGTTTTCAAATTTGACTAAAAGATAGGTATATTTCTGCCATATTTCGATCGTATGCCTGGCAACAGGTGCGAGTAAGGGCAGTGAGTGACTTCTAGTTAAAGTGTTGTCTGCTGTTAAAACTCTCCTCATTTTCTGCCATATTTCATTGGATTTACTGTTATTATTAGTGTTTACTGATAAGAGTGATTAATCATGATATATAAAGTAAGTGGTGATGTGAAGAGAAAGCATATACATTTATCTGTTGTGCAGAAACAAGAGTTAATGAAGAAGTTAGAGTTTGGTGTGTCCATGGTTCATGTCTGTGATGAATAGGGCATTAAGAAACAAACTGTGTCAGACATATGTAAGGCCAAGGATAAACTTACCGCATTTGCACTGAAGTATGATGTTGATGGTGCCAGTACATTTGCATCTTTTAACATTGTTGGTGGCATTGTAGCCAGGTTAAACCCATCACTGTAACCAACATACTCCTGGGCCAAGTTCTGAGGTGTTATGGTTGTTTTTCAACTCGTATTTTCAGGGAGATATACGTAATTTTTTTTTTTTTTTTTTTCATGCACACCATCCTGCAAACATATTGTATTGTGAAAAGAAAGTAAGAGAAATAATTGTCATAAAGTCAAACATATAAAGCGAATATACATTTCTTTGCACGCAAGTTAGCTTGCTCAGTGGGGGAGTGGGAGGAGGGTGCAGAGTGTAAGGGGTGGGGAGCGTTGCTAGGGAATCGGTGGAGCTAGCGTCCCAGCTGGTCTCCATTGCTATGGTGAAGCAGAGAGTGTATGCAAATGGTGACTGTGTTAAACTTTCTTTTGGATTTTGTTTACTGGTTTGGCAATACAGTAAACCCTTGTTATTCATGGGGGTTAGGCTTCAAGGAATGGCGTGAATAGGCAAAACCGCGAACAGCAACTTAAAACTACCTTAGTGTACTACTGTATACCGACACCAAACAACAGACCAGCCGCGGCAGCACTCATTCCCTCTTTTAACTTATCTAATAATTCAACATTCTTTGTCAGGGCCATCTCTGACTTCTGCCTTTTACATTTCACTCCACAAGCATCACTAGCACTGACACAAGACAATCTTTTAGGGGCCATTTCATACAGAAACACTAAAGTTTTGAGAAAACAACACGAGATGCTGCTTGGGATGACTCGTTGTGCTGCAGGAACAGGCTCGCAAGTTAGCCGCCATCTGCTTACTGCCAATTGTCGAAATTGTGAATCGCAAACCCGCAAATGGCAAGGGTCTATTGTACAGTATATTTTTTTTAACTTATTTATTGGTGTTAGTTTTATTTATTCCTCACATTTGCTAGTGTATATTATTTTCAGAAAACTATGGCTGCAGGAGGAAAGTACACACAAAAGCTTTTCTTAAATACTCCCTGCTAAAATGGGGGGGGTGGTCTTTTATGTTCCGTCAAGTACTGGATTGTATTTTTTTTTTTTTTTTGTCATTCTTTATAATTTTTATACATTTTGTACATTCGCTGGAAGATCCAGACAATCGACTTTTTCGGACAAGTGGTCCCCCCTTTTAGTCCAGATCTTTGAGGTTTTTTTTTTTTTTTAAGGGCATTAGCCCACCCAGGCACGGGTATATATAAAAGATATAAAAGTCAATAGGATGATACCCTTAACACCACACCTACATACCTGTTATCCACAAATTTCTATGTTTACATTAATCTCAGCGAGGTTGATAGCTGCAGTATTAAAGAATACCAAAACAAAATGATGTTACACTCTCTGTAAAAATGTCTTAAGGCTTATAAGCACAACTAAAACAGCAACAACTGTATTAGGCAGGAAGCAGTGATGTGGTGGCTGTTGACACTGTAGTACAGTACATAATGCTTTATCAGTGAGGGCAAGAGCCTGTTTAGTGTACTGGTAGTCTCATTTTCTATACCTGTAGCGATGCAAGACCAACCACAAACAATGTAACCCTTCAGCTCTGATAACTGCAGACTGTATGCAGTTTCCACTACCTTGTTAGGCTAGCTTTTGGAGTGAAAATTCTCATATTTAGAGTCCATCTCAGTTTATAAGATGGTTTTGGGGGTAAAAAACTAAGGGCTGGAATTCATCTCGGCTTTTAAAATGGGACCATAAGAAAAAAATAGATCCCATTTTGAGATAATTCACATTACGAACATTCTCTATGAGCACATACCCATTCATTCATTTATTGGGATTTTGCTACATCCGTCAGTACTTCGGACATCAGAACCACGATTCATTCTTGATTACAGTCTATTATGACCTTAAGTTTTCTTTGGATTTGAGCTATTTCATGGATTTTATATTTGTTCAACATTTCTGAAGTACAGTAAGTGTCATGGGAAATTTGGTGTTAAGTTAAAAATACTATAAATACTTTTCATAAATCACTTCAAAACGCAAACTTATTTGTATCTTTTAGAAATAGAGGTACTTAATACATTATTATCAGCAGATGATGGTGTTGGATGGTCAGGTGGAGGATTAGGTGAATCCTCTGATGCAGACTCAGTTGAGCGCTTGGTGTATGGCAATAACGTTGGACCTGGTGCTGCTGCTAACAACGTGAACAAACCAGAAGAACCTCACTTGTGTGCCTGCTGGTGTCAGGGATGGGCTGAAATTTATATTAGACAACCCACTGGTAAGTTTTCTTTTATTGTACTGACTTAATTTTATGGCAGATATAAAAATACTATTTAAAGTTGTGGTCATGTCGATTTGTCATTATTAAATGCTTTCATGTTAAGCTTGATGTGTGTACTTGAATACAGTGGGGTATGCTATAACGAACGGATTCTACTACGAATATTCCTATAACGAACGGTTTTACCTATGAAATTGAGATTGCTATAACGAACACAACTCCTACAACGAACACGGATGAATACGGGACTATTTCGTCTGGCGCATGAATATTGTTGTACCACGGCTCACAACAAGAGCGTCAGGCGCCATATTGGTTCATTGTGTAGTCAGTGCACCACTGAACTTGTTGAAATTTCGTCTTTTGATGTGGAAATTCGTGTTATTTTTATAACCATTTTGTTATACAAGTGTACAATTGTAACAATGAATCGTCAAAAGCGAGTGAGAAAGCTAATAACCCTTGAAACTAAGAAATAAATTATGAATAAACAGACAAAGTGCCTGTAAGACAGTCACCAAAGAGGGCTAGGAAGGATGACTCCTCTCCTTCCACCTCTTCTCCATAATTCTCTCCTCCCTCCTCCTCCTCTGCCTCCTGTCCTGCATGCTAACAACACTAAGGTAAGATAAAGTACCGTATTTTTTACAATTTCCACAGAAATTTTTCAGTGTTAAGTGGTTGTATTTGGGGGCCTGGAACGGATTAATCCCATAACGAACGAATGCTATAACGAACGAGGTTCTAGAACCAATTAGATTCGTTATAGCATACCCCACTGTACACAGACAAACACATACACACACAAGTAGTTCCTAGGGTTGTGTAGCTTTTATAGAGTGGATGAAAGAATTGTGGCTTTAACTCTGCACAGATCTTACAAGTTGAGCACGTTCTTTTCACATCTTTAATAGAAAAGGGGAGATTTCTTAATCTGACAAACTGGAGCAAACTGTAGCAAACGAGTAACCCCGAGATGACAGAGTCCATTTTGAATATCGGAAAGAGTTGATGTTGATGTAGAAGAACAGCAGAAGGCACGTGTGAGGGTATCAGGGGCCACATTATCCTTGCCTGGTCGGTATTGTATGGTGTAACTGAATGATGCCAATTCCATTCTCCATTCCTGTATTTTGTTATTCTTGATTTTTTGTGCGCTTACGGTTATTAAGCATAAAGGCAACTGAACGATGATCAGTAAGCAGAGTAAAATGATGTCGAGCTAGAAAGTGACTCCATTTATGCATTGCTTCTATGAGAGCTGTGGCCTTCTTTTCAATACGGGGATAGTGCAATTCACTACCTTGCAGGGTCCAGGACATAAAGGTTACAGGTCAGCCTCCTTGGTTCAGTACAGCAAGATAGCTACTTCTGAGGCATCACATTCAACCACAGATGGGAGGCTTACATCTGTGGATTGAAGTGTAGTATTTTCCAGTTGTTTCTTGATGGGGTTGAAGGCTGATATGGCTGAATCTTAGCATTTATCAGAAGTTGTATTTTATCAGAGAAATGAGGTATCCATATTGCAAACATTCCAAGGGCTCTGCAAAGGGAACCTAGATTTGTTGGAGGAGGGAGTTCTTAGGACAAAGTCCCTCTGGATCAGGTTTGTTGGTGCCATTCCAACCCAGTAGCTAAGGATGTTGATTATTTTCACCGATCATATGGACTTGGATTTGTTTAAAATTAAATTTTTACTGTTCACAGTGTTAAGGAACTTTTGGAGATTATTAAATTTGGGAATACTTTTTTTTTCCAGTACGGTAGTGTTACTACGTTTGATTTTTTACACTATAAATAGTCATTTTTTATCTAAAGTTCGAGGCCAGAGAAACTTGCGATCTTAACATTCGCACACCAATTCTTAGTAAGAATAGCATGGGGGAACAGTTGCCCGTCAGTGGTTGATGTTTACCAAATATTTAGTTATAATACCCATTCTTATAATAAACTTATTCTTAGCGGATAGGAATATTGCAATAAAAAAGTATGGGAAGTTGTATTATTACGTGAAATAAAACAAGCAGTGATACGATAGCATAACGGAAAGTAAAATAGAGACGGCTTAGTGAAAGTGAAGCTCTTGAGAGGTGGCTAGATTTTTGTTTTCACAAAAGCTATCCTAATAAGTGACGATATGAGGTTGGACTTGGGCATCAGAAATCATCGTCAGAGGAACACCGTGCCAGCAGACTTGTCTTGGTTTGTCGGCATTAGGCAGTGGACTTCTGGAAAAGGCTTGTTTTCACTGACGTAAATTTTTCACTTTAGTATTCTGTCCACCCACCTTCTTTGTTGATAACGGCATTAAGTCTTTCGGGAATTGGTCTAACAAGGTTGCGGAGGATTTTATGTTTGGCCCTAAATACCTCCCATTCTGCCTTAGTGTAGGCGAACAACTCTGCAGACGTTTTTTCCCTCTTAGGCTTCCAAGTGTTCACAATATTCGCCCATAAATTTTCCAAAGGGTTCATATCAGCCCCCCGACTAGGCCAATCCAGCAGCTGCAAATTCTCACGGTCAACAAGCCACTGCTGGACAACTCTAGCCTTGTGTATGTAGCACCGGTCATGAACGAAAACAATAGGTCCAGGGGGAGGGCAAGAAAAAATTCTCCAAAATGTCCAGATATTTTTGCACTGTAAATCTCCTGTTGATTTAAACCAAGTCCCCCACACCATGGACAGACATATAGCCCCACACATTACAGGTGCTGCTTCTGCTACGAGCCTCCTCGTAAATATGCTCAAGGTCATACCTTTGTGAGAAAATTTCAGCTGTTAACCCTTAAAAGCCCCGGGTTAGGGTGCTGCTAGCAGTAACACCCCCCCCCAAAAAAATAAATAAATAAAAAAATAGTTACTTTAACAAAAATAATAATAATAATAAAAATGGCGGGAAAATAGGCGGACGTTCTGGAACGTCACCCGAGGCATGCTGGTCGGACGTTCTGGAACATCATCCGGGGCCTAAGAGTTATTGTCATGATGCATTATAATTTGTGTAACTATCAATATTACTGGAAACCTTTACTTTAATTATCTTCAAATTACTTTGGCTTAATATATAACTAGCAACTTAATGGGTTCCAATTTGGTATTTTATTAAGAATACAGCTGTACAAATAAATACACATAGTCATTATCGACATGTGCCTTGCCGAGAGAGTAGAGGTAGCACTGTAGTATTTATTTATATTATAGGATTGGATTAGTAGTTTTGGAAAGTCTAAAAAGCAGGATTATTTGATTTATAACCTTTGCATATAATTTACCCGGTACATACAGTAATTTCTGAAATATTACCATAAGTGTAAAAATTCATAAATGGTCAAACCTTTGTATTGGTGTGTTTTATTGCATTTGTTAATTGGTGCTCTAGACAAAATGATAAATTATTGTTACCTAGTGTTGTTGCGCCTCCACATGTGTATTCTGCCATGATTGGTCGATGCAAAGGTTTTATCGTCTGTGAAGACAACTGTGTCCCAGAATTCCAGCGACTGGACAGCATATCGATGAGCGATATGATTCTTGGCGGGAATCCTGTGGTGGATACCCGCCTCATGAAGCCACCTCCGGTCAGGTCTAACGCTCATGTCCAGCCGCAGATCTTCGCTAATTGCAACAGCATTAGTGAAAGGGTCGTCCTCAGCTGCTCTCAAGATCCTTGCATCGTCTTCAGGAGTAATCACTCGTGGCCAGGGATGTCTCTCTCAATCAAAAAGAAAATGCTGATTAAAAGCCACTAATTTTTTATGCTAAGTAAATATATTTGATTGCCTGTGTAATCACCAATAATATGTCAGTCTGATCAGTACTTACCAAGGTCATTCAGGTTGCCACTCTCCTCCCATCTTCTAATCCCCTTGATTACAGTAGCAGCTGATATTCCAAGCTCACGGGATATGGCTCGGATAGAGAGTCCAGCTTCTCGTAGGCCCACAAGGCGACTTCTCAAAGCTAACTGGGTGTCATGGCGGTTATCTTGAAGTCTAAGAGCTTTCTGTTGAATTCTATGATTTCTAGGGTCGCGACAATACCTTGAGTAAGTTTTAATTAACTGTCGACACTTGTTATGTGATAAACAAGCAAATTATCATTGTTTTCACTGTATTGTATTGTATTCCATTTAGGGGCGGATGCATTTATATCTTTAAACACTTGGTTTTTTACGTCATATGTCATTATTAATTTCATTACTTGTGAAAATAAAGGATAAGGTGTGTGTGTGTGTATGCGTTCGTGCACGCAAAGAGGTCCTTTGGGTTTACCCAGTGCGAGGCTAGGTCGAAATCTGACACGACAGCATATGGTTTCATTATACGCTATTATTGCAAAAACATTCAGTTGTTGAGAAGGATATTTATGCCATAGTTGAAGCAATTAGAAAATGGAGAAACTTCTTGTCTGGCAGGCACTTTACCCTAGTAACTGATCCGAGGTCTGTAACGTTTCATTCAGAGAATTCAAGTAAGAAAAAAAATGACGATTCTTTGTTGGAGAGTTAATCTCTCCTGCTATGATTATGACATTGTCTATTGCCCCGGCAAAGAGAATATGCCATTGTCTATTGCCCCGGCAAAGAGAATATGCCAGCCATCTGACACCTTACCAAGAACTTTCTGTTCAGCTGTCAACTTTAACACGTTGAAAAGTCTTCATGAACAGTTATGTCACCTGGGAGTTATCCGAATGGTACATTTTATCCGTATTCGTAACTTACCCTACTCTTTGGAAGATGTTAGTAGGATCTGTTCCTGTCAAACATCTACCAAGTCAAAGCCTCATCTACAGAGCTGACACGGCTACTCTGATCAAATCCACTTAACCCTTTGAACGTCTAAACATAGATTTCAAGGGACCGCTACCATCTGTTTCGAAAAATTGCTACCTCCTGACTGTGATTAATGAAAATTCACGATTTTGCGTGTGATGATATGACTGCTGGTACTGTTATACATTGCCTGCACCAAATATTTAGCTTATTTGGCATGCTGGTATATATCCATTCTGATAGGGGCCCATCATTTATGAGCACAGAACTCAAAAACTTCTTATGCAGCCATGGAGTGGCAATGAGTCGGACAGACTCATTAGTTGAGTTGGAACACATCAAGTCAGAACTCTCCGACAGTGACAGTCTCTGCCAGCACCAGCTAACCAGGAGGAGGAGGAGATGGTTCACGACCCGACTCCTAGTACCTCATACGCACCACCCCACAACCGTGAAGTGTTAGCAGTTTGTGAATTTTGGAAGGAATATAATATTAAAAATACAGTGGACAGAATTGTTGATGGATGGCATAAGACTAATGTTACAACAGTGCTACATGCAGGGAAGCGTTTGTTCCCTGTTGGAGCAAACAAGCTCTGCGACATCCACCCTATATTGGGTGCCTGGGGACATCCAGGACTGTCATGCCACCGAGAGACTGATTTGGCCCGCCTCTGCATTGGCCATACAAGGCTGACTTATGGATTTTTAATGGAGAGGGCACCCCCTCCCCATTGTGACGACTGCCTGGTCCCATTGACTGTCCAACACCTCCTGGTGGAGTGCCTCAGTCTCAGAGATCTCCATTGTAAGCACCTCTCCTGGTGCCTGGGGAGGGGGGGGGCGGTTCTGGGGGAGGGTGGGTAACGTGGGATGGGACGTCCTCTCCTTTGTGGAGGAAATCAGCCTTCTACACAAGCTTTGAGTTTTATTTATTAACATTTAAATGGTTTTTATGAAAGTTCTATGTTATTTATTGTGTTTTTACCTTGAATTATTTTATTTTAGTCTTTTCCGCCTTAATTTTAATCTGACAACATATGACGTAAGTTGGTGCGTTGCCAGGGATGTAATTACCACAATCAAACAATCAATCGGTCAATTGCTAACCCTGAGGTAAGTGAGCAGAGCAGACCAAGGCAAGCAAGGAGAGGCAGCCCATGGCAGCAACACCAATGGCCACAGTGGAGGCAGCTCGGTCAGTCCCAGCACCGGGATTTTTTAATGTTCAAGCAGAAGATTTACAAGGAATCATTGATCAATGCTAACAGCAACCGACAATTGAAGAAATGTTAGAAGAGAATGAAGACCAACAAGAACAGCAAGCAACAGAAGAGGAGGATGTTAAGTTTGGTGAACCTACAACACACCAGCTGACTGATGTGCTCACAAGTATCGCACGTCTCAGTGAACAGCTATAAGAATACGATAGCAGGCCTCATGCTCAGAACCATATCTGCCCTGTCCTTGATAAGGTTATGGAGGAATATAAGGCCTTGTACATGTCCGGTGTTAATGCTCGTTGGCAGGCCCTTATTACTTTGTACCTTCGCAAGGCTCAGCCTGTTAATGCCTTGGCAAACATCACTTTAGGAGATGATGATGGCACCACCGATGATGATATTGAAGTGTTGGGCGACTTGCTGGTGGAAGAGCTGCCTCAAGACTTTGAGGGATTTGATGTAGTAGTTAGAGGAGGTGTAGAGGGGTGATCAGGGAGGAAGCAGTAACTAGCCCTGCCTGCCTGCTTGCCTCGGAACCCATCAACCAGTCCCGTCAAGCATTTTACTGACTCCGTCAAGATAAGTTATTCTACTGTATGAGTGTATATAAATATTGTTATCAACAATATGTACAATATAATATGTATGAATACGTTACAGTAATGTCATTTTCTGGGTGGGTTGTAGGTCGTTATGGGGGGTTCGGGTGGTTGACCACAGAACCGATTAGGCTTATTTACATATATTTCAACATCACTCGTTTGGCGATTTTGCATTTCACGACACTAAACCAGTACCAATTAGTCACTAAACTCGAGATCCTACTGTACATTCATCACATTCTATCCAATTGGCATTATGAAAATATGCATTTTTGGATAACTGATTGTACCTAAATGAAAAGCTTCCCAACCCAAAAGCCATGTTCTCTTGGAAATGATAAGTTGAATATTCAGTGGTTATATGGAATGGTGGGCTCTCAATTTTATGGTTGGAGTGTATTAAATACTGTAATCAGACAGTGAGGGCGACTACCAGGGTCCTGGCAGTCACCAGGCTGAGCCCATGAGTTGTTCTACTGTATACAGTACATCTTTGATAACCACAGCATAGAGGACACTTGGAAGTCCTTCATATAATGCTCAGTTTCCATTCTTCAAAAGTGGGTAGGCAATAGGAAGGGTACCTCGCTGTAAAGTTTTCTTCAAATTTTATTTGATGGCAGCTGAGACACCATGCCATCAGCTAATCACAGTTAACCCACACAAGCACAGATGGCTGATTCTATAATAATAATAATTAACATTTCATTGAAAAAGTTCTGCAGCCCGAAGGCTGAAAATATACATTGGACATAAATGACTTATTACACACATTGGTGGTTTAAAAAAAGCCTTCATTAGAGAAAGGTAAAGGAACATACAGTGAACATACAGATTAATGTAGGTGTTGAACAGCAAACACCTAGTGTAGTAACTCCTTCCCTCACTGTACTGTATGTCATAAATGAAGGATTGAAGTATGAAAGATCAATGCCGGACTGAGGAGATTCTCCTGGACTTTAGCCCTTATTCTAAGGGAATTGACTCTGGATTTGTTAGTTCTAAGGGGTCAGGAACTTGCAAGCCCACCATTTTGGCTCAATGATTATCAGGTGCAGTGAATTTTTCATAATTAATCTCCCAACTGAAGGACTTTAATGGCTGTTTTGGTAATCATCACACAAGTACAGTAATATCTCCGTTAGCCGGAATCCCTCAAACCTGGGACTCTCCGATAGCCGGAATTTAAATTTTCTGAGGGACACATTTTCCGGAAAATTCCAAGAAAATTTTCGCGTTACCCGGAAAATTCCGGGATGGGACATTTTTTTCCATGTTTGAGAGATGAAAGTCAGGATCATTTTCCGGAAATTCCGATAAAAATTTTGCGGTGCCCATAATATCCCAGGGATGGGGGATATTTTTCCAGGTTTGAGAGATGAAGTAATGCACAATTTCTGTAACCTCCAAGAAAATTTTTGTTACCCAGAAAGTTCCGGGAAATTCCAGGCATGGGGGATATTTTTCCGGGTTCAAGAGATGGTGTAATGGGCAATTTCTGGAACTTCCAAAAACATTTTTCTGTTACCTGGAAAATTATGGGGATTAGGGATTTTTTTCGGCTTTGAGAGAGTCCTCTCGTTACCTGAAAATCTCTCATTCCCAGAAGTGGTCTGCACCAATTGTTCTGGCTAATGGAGATGTCGCTGTCGATGCAGTATTTTTAAAAAATAATAGTATGACTCGATGAAAATCTATATTGGATCCAGTTGTATTATTCTCTCTAGTCTTGCATCCTGCTCTGTGATGTTAGTGAGTTCTTTCTTGGAGTATTCAGTGTGCTAGAATCCTAAAATGTGTCTCTTCTTTGGGATTTTATACTTCACTCCTTTGTTTTAGTATTCATTTATGTTTATGCCTGCTTTAACCTTAATATCTTCCAGTTAATGGTTATTCATAATGCTGCTTATAATTATTATCATGTATTTCAGGGAACATGTCCTGGATGATGAGACTTCAAAATAAGCAGACAGTAGTGACTCCTGGCAGTGAGCTTCCTCTACATGAACTAAGTAACCTCTATTCCCCTGCATCTTCAAGGGAGACAGGTGAACTTATTGGTTCAGTCATAAATCGGAGGCTTGATACATTCACCCATGAAGATGAGAAAACTGAGGTAGAAATGATGGTAATTAGTGAGAATATAAAAACAAGTTAATGATCAAATTATTACAGTATTAGAATATTTACAGATTTGAAGCAATAGCATGTTTTAACTTTCGAGTCATTGTAGTGGTTTAATGTAAGGTTGCTTTACTTTTATTTATTATAAAATATACATAGTTTCCAAAAAACAATAGGGGAAATAAGAACAGCAAATATTGATTAATTTTCAATGGAGAAAGAAATCTGGAATTTCAGATATCTGGTGCTGAATTATTTAGGAAATGGAACAAGTGGTTAATTTCATCACAAAATATTGGAAGGAGAGTAAGTAATAGGTACATAATGCTTTAAAACTTTTCTTTTGTGGAGAGACAACATTACCAAAGGAGAGAAAGATAGGGCTTCATTGAACTGGCATAGTGATATGGATGTGAAGTATGGACTCTAAATGTTTGAGGAGGAAGCATATGACTGGATGCAAGAAGAAAAAGCAAATTAAGAGGAATAGTTATGTTGTGCTTGCAACCATTATGAAAATTGAATAGAATGCAGAGAATAAGAACCTCACTAACAAAAATATCCCAACATCATACCCCAAAAACATGAAATCGGTTCACAAACAAGATAAACCTACCTAACTAATGATAAATAGTACACACCTACTGTAATTTACTACCTAACACATTAAAAACGTTAATAAAATACTACAGTATCTAGATGAAAAGATGCAGCTAAAACTATTAAAGAAAAGCTAAATCAAAGTTTAACACAGTCTCCAGTGGTGCCATTTGTGTAGATGCTGGCTGCTTCGTGCATAGCCACCCTCAAGCATCGTCATATTAACCAGCCCGGCCATCTTTGCTGACCCTTAGCAACGCTTCCTCCCCCGCTCTTACATACAAAGAAATGTTTACTCCCTTTAGATTTTTGACCTTATGATCATTATTTCTTTAAAAAAATAAAAAATTTACATTATGCTTGTAAGATTGTGTGTGCGTGTAACTGAATGAAAAAAAAAATGAAGAAAGTTATGTTTATACAGGTTGTACCTCTCTAGTCCGGCATTCTGTGGTTCGGAAACTCCCGTGGTCCGGAACGATTTTAGTTTGTCCAATAGGTAGATAGGCAGCTTTTTTTTTTTTTTTTTACTTATCTGAATTATTATTATTATTACAGGAGTATTAAATTTTTGCCCCTCAGGCCCTAATGTGGGTCAGTGACCTATGCCCGGGTGGGCTAATCCCCTTAAAAAAAAAGCCGCGGGAAATTAAGGTTTGTTTACATCCGGCAGTTCGGCTGCTCTCTCTCTCTCTCTCTGCTTGTCTATACAGAGTACAACATTTAACCCTTCAATATATATGAGCAGTAAATAAGTGTTGCTTTCATATTCTTATGTAGAGTAATGACGATATATTTTCACATGTGCGCACTTACATACGAGCAGTCTCACTTTTTTTTTACCATTAATGGTTAGCTACTTATATTGTTCCATTTATTAACATTAAATAACATTACAGGTACTTCAAGCAACCATATTCATTTTTTTACATTAATTTTACTACAGCTAAACTCAGGGTCTTATTTTCTTCAGTTTTATATGTAGAACCAATCAGTCACTGGTTTCGTAAGCTTTAACATAAACAATGCCGGCAGCCGTCTCGTCTCCTCTAATATTCCACGTATTATTAATAAATTGTATTGTTAATTTTGCACACACGTACATTAATTCAATAAAAACAAATTCAGAAACATTAATTAAAATATATATGAACAGTAAATAAGTGTTGCTTTCATATTCTTATGTAAAGTAATGATGATATGTTTTCACGTGTGCGCATGCGCACTTACATATGCGATCTCTCTTTTTTCTTTACCATTATCGTTAGCTACTTCTATTGTTCCATTTATTAACATTAAATAACATTACTTAAAACAACCATATTAATTTTACTACAGCTACAACCAAGGTCTTATTTTCTTCAGTTTTATATGTAGAACCAGTCAGTCACTGGTTTTGTAATCAACGAAACAATGCTGTGTCATTTCCTCGTGTGTTTTAATATTCTACGTATTATTAATGAATTGTATTGCTCATTTTGCACACATAAACATTAATTCAATAAAAAAGACATTCAGTAATAAACAATAATGAATCTTTTGTACATAAGAGAAATGACGCTGTTTACACGATTATGCACGTCGTCTGCACGTTGGCGGGCCGTTCAAACCCGTCGAAATTCAAGTTTCCGCCGTCAAAATTTTTATTTATTTATTTTTTGTGTGTTCCAATAAAATACGTTAAGAATTAAAAACTCGCGAAATTTGAGAAGCTACTATACGACATTTAACCCTTCAATATGTCTTCAAAGAGACCATGATGCAGAGGAAGTGGTGCTAGTGCTTCCAGGCATAAGCACAAGTCACTATCTATCCAGGAAAAGGGTGAATTTCCATGGTCCGGCACTGGTCAGGTCCCGAGGTTGCCGGACTAGAGAGGTACAACCTGTTTAAACAAAATTATGAGTTGAAAAATAACCAAAACAAAACTCCAACTCAGTCAGGTAGGGGGAACAGTAGGGGGATATGGCCATCCCATCTGACTCCCGGGGGTGCATGACTTGAATTTTTGCCGGGACCCAAATTTGTATAAGTGAGGGAAGCTTTCGTAGCACAAAAAAGAGGTGGTAGTTTAAGAAATTTGTATAAATGAAATTTTCTTATCTCGACATTCGTATCTCGAGAGATTCCTATACACAAACTTACCCTCTACTTCATTATTCTCTAACATTCTTAATGTTATTAAGGTTACAAATAAGCTTTCAATTTGTCATCATTCTCCCACGATCATCATATAACTTACTTCCCAAACTCATGTGAAGACGAGCAAACTTGTCCCTCACACCACCATGCATACATTTACTGAACGAGTTGCCCTATTGTTCAATTTATCCTCTAGTACTCTGATGTAATATGTGGAAGACTAAATGAAAGATTATTCTGTATTCTTAAACTTCATATGTATACTGTAGAATGCTCTAATTTTCATAAAATAGATTATCTTAAGTAGATTTTTGGTTGACATATACTTTACTGTACAATAATTATCACCCTGCCATGATATAAGAATAAGTACCCTAATTATGAAAAAGACATTTAGTCTAAATTAACACTTTGCAGGAACTCTTAAGCCAGCCATTCGAAGAACCAAGACCACGTGCATTTTCTGGTGCCTCGGATAAAACACAGGATTCAGACCTCGGTTCTCAGAGAGACTCCAGTGGTTGTAGTAGTGGTGCTCCCTCTCATGCATCATCAGACCTTCGAATAAACTCAGCTGATCCTGGGGATGATACCAGAGGCAGTTCACCACTTACCAACACCAGCACATCTGGTTTGTTACAACTGTATTATGTAATGTTCTAAATATTTTAAACATTTGGTCATGATTTTGAGGGTTAAAATGGGTGAATTATTTGAGAGGTATTTGGTAGGAGGAAGATTGCTATGAAAGGATGGGATGAAGGATAACCAAAAGTTTAGGGGATTGGACACTTAAGAAGCAGTTGTGTGCATGAATGGGTGGAAAGCATGATATCAAGCGATTTGAGGGGAAGCCCTTGATAATACTGATGGAAGATTCTGGGTTGTATGAAATGAGGAATAATACTGATGGATATTTTGGGACTGTAGGAGGTGAGTGCCATAGCAGAACACATCTTTTACAACAGTATGAATGAGATTGAATTAATGACAGCAAATAAAAGGAGAATGTTTGTGTAAATTTGCTCTTGATGCCAACCATGCTGCATTATGGGAGGAAAAAATGAGAGATTGCACATTATTAATAGTGTTATTATTATTATATTTATTTTTAGTATTCTCCATGGTGTTTCAAGAAGAGGAAGGTCAAAAATCAAACCTTGTTTGAATCCAATTCACGTCTTCACAGAAATAACAAATTTGCAAATATCAGGACAATTTTCCCCATAAGAATTACTGTAATGAAAATAGGAGGGAATACATTCCCATCTGGCACCTTTCATCACATATTTACCCCAATTCATTTGATTATATCATCTATTAACACATCTAAATGAGTAACAGGAACTGGGATCTTATATGCTTAAGAAAGAATTGTATTAGACTGGGCATAATCATCAGTCTTGGTTTCACTGTACACAGGGTCCCATGAAAATAATACAAAAGTTGCAATTTCAATAATCCTTGCAAATTGCTATAACGATATGGTGACATCTTGGTGATCCTCATCTTCCCTGATTGCAATGTTCTGCACAACATCCTCACATGAAAGTAAAAATGTAACTACAGTAGAACATCAATATAACACGAGATACGTTCCAATAGAGGTCCCTTTAAACCGAATTCGCACTAAATCGAAGTGTTGTTTCAATGGAATAATTTAGTTTGGTACTTGAGAGAAACACAAAATACTAAAAGACTGACACTACCCAAATGCACCTCAGCCCATCTCCTAGAATAAACAAAACATTGTTTTTTGTAGTACTGTATTATGTTAAATCAAGACAGCTAAAATTATGGGACGTGAATGGTCTGTTTACTCGCGATCAGCTGATGGGAAGATGGTTGGGGGAAGAGATATTTTTGACAGCTGTTGCCAAGGTCTAGTGGTTATTTATTTATCTGTCCTTAAGAGTAACTTTAAGTTTTTCTCTTATAAAATGTCACTGAACTGACATTTTCGAATTAATTTTATTACAAAGGGCTAAAATATTTATCTCTTGTGCAAAATATATGACGTTTACATTCAAACTATTCGCTGTCTTGCAAGGATTCTAGCAATGCAAATTTATTTCCCTAACTTTAGTCTGTAATATTTTATAAGATAAAAACTGTAAGCCTATAACCACCCAACCCTGGCTGGGAAGATGGGGGAGGGAGGTGACAGTGACACGTTTGACAGTAGGGGCCGAAGGTCTAGTGAAGTATTTATTTGTTTATTTATGTCCTTTAGATTGATTTTTTTTTTTTTTATAAAATGTCACAGAACTGACCGGGGACAATATAATTTACATTGCTGGAATTCTTATAAGATAGTGATTAATTTTAATATAAACATGCAATAGTTTGCATTACACATACAAATTTAGTTTTCATAAATAAACATATTACAAATGGCTAAAATTTTTATCTCCTGTGCAAAATATATGAAGTTTATATTCAAATTATTCACTGTCTTGCAAAGATTCTAGCAATGCAAATTATATTCTGCTAACTTTAGTCTGATATTATATAAGATAAAAACTGTAAGCCTATAACCACCTAACCCTGGCTGGGAAGATGGGGGAGAGGGAGGGAGGGAGGAAGGGGAGGTGACATGTTTGACAGTTGCACCAAGGTCTAGTGAAGTATTTATGTGTTTAATTATGTCCTTTATATTGAGTTTTTTCTTTTTTTTCTTTTTTATAAAATGTCACAGAAGTGACCGGGGAGAATATAATTTACATTGCTGGAATTCTTATAAGATAGTGATTAATTTGAATATAATTTTGCTATAATTTACACGAGACAAAAATTTTAGTAATCATTTAGTACATTGTTTTGAGTGCCCAGAGAAACATTAGGCGTGAATTTTAAAATGTGACGCACCAGATTGACTCGTGCAAAATAGGAAGAATTCACTTTAAATTAAAACATTGTCCTTCATTGTGGGTGTCACTTTAAATCAATAATCTTCAATTGAATCGCTTTAAATCAACGTTCTACTGTATGTGATAATCAACTTCCTCTGTGAACTTGCAACTGTGGTAATTCTGCGGCAACACTTTAAATACAACGGAAGTGTTAGTAAGCTGTTTGAGCCAGCTTTAGCCATTCTTAGTTGGTGTTTAGACAACCTCGATATCACTAGATGAATAGAGGATGCAGGAGGGAAATTATACTGTCCTGACACACTGGGGTTTGGTGGGTTGGGAGAATGAACTGAACCTAATAAGGTGTGGTATCATATATATGACCTGACTTAAGTTGGGTACGGTGTAAATCGCCATATGATTGATCAATGGAAGATTTTCACTGTACAGTATATGAATTTGTGTTCCATGCAAATCTTCCATAATACCAATAACAATACCAGCTCCAGTTGGGAGAACTGCATCAGTTAGTATTGCATTTGCTGTTTGTTCAGAGGTACTATTGTAATCTTTCTTTAAATGTGTAATGTCTGAACCAGATAAATTAAATAAATTATCCGTAAATGATGAATCAATAATACAAGATTATACGAAAAAAATAACCTTGCCCATCCATATAAAGTAACTGAATGAAAATATAATTAAATGAGTAAATAAAAATACTAACATTATATTACATTAATACTATACAAAGTAAGGCACTTATTAATTAAAAACCTAGCTTATCACGATGTTTGACGTGTGATGGTATGCTTTATAATATGTTTACTGTAGTAAAAATCTACTTCAAGTTTGTGATATACTTAGCACGAAGACTTGATTGAAGTTCTGGTAGGTATGTCCATAGAGTTCCGCTCGTTGTTGTAGTGTCACGCCTTATTTAAAAAATTTAAAATCCAAGATGGTGTCTTGCTGTGACGTTTGAGTGATGTTTCCAATATGGCGTCGATAACGTTATAGTTGCCAGGGGCTGGTAGTTATGATGATCTAAGTGATGTCGAAAACAGCTGTCTGATGTAAACTGGGTGCACTGGTTCACACGGTGAGAGCTGAGCCAGACGGTGACCAATCAAAAGAACACTGAGCTGTAGACTGTGGTAGGTTCACCCTGGAGGGCCTGGGGCTAGGGTGCTGCTTGATGCCGGGGTGTTTCTTGGTGCTCCTGCTCACTGGGAGAGAAGGCTGACTGATGTTGTTATGCTTAGTCGCTGAAAACAGTTGTGAGAGCATCTTGGAGGCGGGGTTGAAGAGACATTCAGGGTTTGGTAATGCTGCTTTGTACCGCGGTGCCACATATGAAGCTCATCAAATGTATTAAATCAATTAAAAAAAATAAAGATTGAAACTTGTACAGTACGTCAAACTGGGACGTGAAACAAGCGTTCCACTTAAATGTACTGGGTCTCAAAAAGGTAGATATTACAAGTGTAAAAAATGGAGAATGTCGAGTATTAACCAAAAATTTTCAGTTTTTGTATAAAACATTGGTTTTCGTTCATAGATTCGTTAACTGCTGCCACCATATGTTGCAGTTTCCTGTTACCTGTTGGAATCACTGATGATAAAATTTGTTGAGTCAGGATTACAAGTGAATTGGAAGTAACACTCAAAAATGTTTATAGGTTAAGTTTTCAAACCCAAATGGTCTTTTCTACATTTATTAAGAAAATAAACTATTGCACAATAACTGGGATATCACTGTAATTAACGCTGTGAGCTGTGAGCATTAATAAGGGATGAAGCTTGGGTATAACTAGCTTCTTAGAGCACATGTCTCAGTGGCTCAGAGACGGGAGTCGAACTGGCAACAGCCGGCTACTTATTTGACGACTGCGGTCAAGGTGTGAGCATTCAGTGGAAATACACTGTCACCGATCCAGTTGATGACTACTCACGGCTCATAGGAAAGTTTCTGTAGGTGATGTAATTATATAAACCTAATGTATGTAACCCACATTTATATAAGTATTACTGTATACTTGATAGGGGCTAATACAAGCACTCACCACCACCATTCCCCACCACCACCACTCCCCACCACCACCACTCCCCACCACCACTCCCCTTCACCACCAACGCTCTCCACCACGACCATCGCTCTCCACCACCGCCAATGCTCTCCACCACCGCCAACGCTCCCCACCACCACCAACGCTCCCCACCACCACCAACACTCCCAATCAACTCCAACACTCACTTTATGTTTTCACCTTATTGCAGTATAATCATTTTTTTTTTCCACATTCTGTATGAAAGATTGTGTGTGCATGTAACGATAAAAGAAATAAAGATAATTACATATGTCTACTCCACTCTATGAAAATTCCCATACCATACACATAAGGAAAACATTAAGGGAATAAACATTTAATGCTTTTGGCTTAATGATTTTTTTTTTTTTTTTTGCACATTCTGTATGTAGGATTATTTGTGGATGTTATTGAATGAAAAAAATATGAAGAAAGTTATGTCCATGTTCGTATCACAAACATTCGTATCTCGAAGGATACCTGAATATTAACATTTCATAATAATTGGTAAAATTTTGAATTATGAGAGACAATTATTAATACATATGATGCACATGTCGCCATGGGATGCGACCGCCAACTTCCCATCTCAGTGTAAATGAAGTACTACAGTATATGTGCCACAGGTGTTGGACCAGTCAGTTGTAGAGTGTACATGTACTGTCTACCACACAAGCTTTTTTCCACTTGTTTTTCCATCATTGCCCAGTGTTTGAGTTATTTTATCTGATACCATGGACCAAGCACCTAAATCTGGTACAGAGGTGCTGTACTGTACTAAAAAGATTTTAAACTTTGCTTGGGGCAGATAATGGAAAAATACTTCCCCTTGGGAGGTGTCCCTTTTATTTTGTAAAATCTCATTATTTTTAATGGCTAGAGACCCTATTATTCAGAATTTTGGGGTTTTACTGTATTCACTTTTAAGGTTAGGACTTAAATTTTCAACTCTCTGTAATGCAATTTTTCTCTTAAAGTATTAAGTTTGTCAATCACACATTTGAACAATATCTTAATGTATTTAAAAATACACACAGGTGAGAATCCTGATGACCCTCGTGTTCCTGTCCAGCGATGTCATTCTAGTCCCGAAATGAGTGAGGGTGTTGTAGCTGGTGGGGAAGAAATGGACCAGCAACCACTTCTTGATCCTGAAAGCCAAGTTCTGTCTTCCCCAAGTACTTCACCAGGACCCACTGAAACAACAACAGTGACAACCACATCAAGACCTCTCAAGCCAAAACCCAGGTTTGTTGCAGTTTGATATGTTTGAATTATATTACAATAATTTCCTGTGAACAGCTTGAAGGGGTGCCCATAATGGAAAGATATTCTGAAACACTATCAAATGCACATGCTTCACTAACCTGTTCCATTTCCTTTTCTAGAATATGGAATGCCTTTTCACCTATCTAAGTTCTTTTTCTTCTGTAATGTACATTTGTTTTGTTTTTTCACATTCCTCTCATCCATCTTCTGTCCACATGTCCAGATTGCTTCTGAGTATTTTTAACCCATTCTGTAACTCTGCTCTCCCTATTTTTGGCTGTAGCTATTCTGCACATTGTGTGCACCTTACTTATAAATTCACGTAGGCCACAGACTCATAAGGTTAGCTATTGTAATCTTGTCCTTTCCATTAAGATTTTTTTTTTCAAATGCCATTTTGTCTGAAATTACTTAGCATATTTTTATCAAACTTCTCAGTATCAACCTTTCTCAATGTCTCTTAAGTACAGTAAACCCTTGGCAATTTGGAATAATTGGGGATACAGGCAGTCCAATAAATCAAATTTCCAAGTAAGCCGGAGTTCTACCTAGGCTCGAGAATCTAAGGGTAATAGTCAGAAATGGAGTGTAAAGTCTGTGTGTAGCCTTAGAGATATCAATATACAGAGCAATGCGTAGATACAATCTAATTAGCCATTTTTTTTTAAATTTGTTGAGAATATTCATCAGCTGATCACGTGTTCTGACTCAGCTACAGGTGTACCCTGATAACCTACGCATATAGGGACCAGGAAAAGTCGTTGGTTAGTGAATCAACAGTTCTCGAAGCAATTAATCTCATATGAGGGGGTTAGGGACTGGCCACCCTCCAAAATCTTCCATCTACCCTTGATATATCTCTGTATTGTACACTGTCAAGCAAGAAAATAAAGCAGACATATAAAGAAAACATTATAAGCCTTAAATAAGAAATGTAAAGCATAAATTGAGACTGTTATTTACCTGTGTTGAGGATCGTAGAGACAGTCTTGGGTAGCAAGTTCAAGTCTCTGCCACTCTTTGCTGGTCCATCACCACTCTTATTACAATCATTATGCCTTATCACATCACATCAAGCTGCCCAGCACAAGAGGAACTATCACTGGGGCATTTAGGCATGATTGAGTAACACACTAAGTTGGAAATAGTGAAAAAACACGTCAAAGGCACATAGTCAGTGTAAACGAGAGCAAAGATGGTGGGAATGGGTCTAGGCAGTGTGCAGAGCCCTCTGGTGGTAAAAATTTTCACCATGTCACTGCCCGCCATATTCAAAACTGCTCTGCCGCTCCTCTCCCAATCATCTGATCTCCGGGATATCAACAAAACTTGTGAGGTATTTCCTTGATGTGAAATCGTCAGTTATACGAATCAGCGGTTATTGGGGGCGTCAGTTTTGGGGTATTCCTGTAATCTAAAGACATTATGGATGGACAACAATGCATTTGTATAGCAAACATGATTTGATAAAAACTGTTTTGAAATGATATAATTAGTGTTGGAGTGAGAAAAAATGCTGTCTTAAGAATTGTTTACTTTATTCTATTCCTGACTGGTTGCTTTTCTAATGTTCATACGGTATTGGAGCATATCCTCTCATCATTAGTGTAGAAACATTAAATATATCTTGAATGTTTAATTTTTTAGAGAAGCCCTAAAGGTTTTCAATACTGTATATACAGTGATCCCTCGGTTAACGAGCGCAGATTTCGGTTAACGAATTACCTTCCATAAGATTCTTAGCTCCGGTTAACGAGCAATCCCTCGATTAACGAATATTTAACGAGCGCCCCTCCACATGTTTTCGCTTGCATTTGGAGGTCCACCAGCTGTAGTATTAGTCCACCAATACAGTAATCGGTTCTAGGGCTTCAATTCCTTACTATTTTAGTAAATATCAAGAAGTTTGTACTATTCATCAATTTTAAAAGTTTTAAATTAAATTTTTTAGTCATTTTAACAATTATTGAACATAATTTAAGTATAGGAAGCTAGTTTTTTGCGCGCCAAAGAGCCTGTGAACACACCATACAGGCGTCAGTTTCTGTGTCTTTTCACTGGAGGTAACATCTTGCTTGAGACTCTCTTCAACTAAATGCTTTTTTTCTGTGTTTCCAAGCAAATTATTGGTCAATTTGAAATTTATTTTACCTATTGACAATATATAATGCAGTGCAGTGTTGATTTAAAGAAAATAATCTTGAATTACACCAAGAGAACTAAAATTTTATGGGTGAAATGGTGCCATGGGGTGACTTCTCTTCCACCCCAATGCCTTCTCTCCTCCCTTCTCCTCCACCCCCATTCTAATTCCCACCATCATCATCATCATCATCATCATCCACAAGCCTTCTACATACACACCTCAAAGTAAGTGTACTTTACTACATTTTTTGTTGATTTTAGGCAATTTTCGGTGAGCTGGAACCAATTACCCAAAAACCCATTGAAACAATGGTTTCGGTTAACGAGTTTTTCGGTTAACGAGCAACCTTCTGGAACGAATTGTGCGCATTAACCGAGGGACCACTGTATCATGAATTAATATGTTGATAGAAAAATGGAGGCTTACCACCTCTTCCACCCTATCCTACACAATCACTTTTATCCTAAATTACTTTCAGATACCTTACAGGTATTCCTTGATATACAAATGAGTTAGGTTAAAAAAAAAACATTCGAATAACAACACAAATGGGAAAAGAGGGTTCAGTTCCCCAGTGACAAAAATACCCCAAAACATGAAATCAGTTCATGAACCAGAAATATACCTACCGAATTCATGACAAAAAGTACACAACTAATGTAGTTTACTACCTAATACATTAAAAACATTATTAAATACTATCTATATGAAAATATGCAGCTAAATTAAAGTTTAACACAGCCGCCCCATTTGCTTAGGCGCTGACTGCTGCATAACACCATACTTTATAATCACTTTACACTAGCTTGTCCCAGAAGCCACGCCCTCATTTCTATAAGCGAGCTGATTGGTTCCTATCAAATGTTCATTTCGCTGTCTATTTATTCATACTAATGTGTTCACTATTTACTCTCAGACCTGTTCTCTATAATAATGTAAAAAATTACAAAAATAAAAATGCAAATGACTTTAAGGCACTTGCACATCAAAGAGGATGTTAAAAATTTTAAAATGTGTATAACGAACGGTTGTATGTCGAAAATGCAAAAATAATACAGTGGTCCCTAGATTAACAAACACAATTAGTTACAATTCACAGAAAAAGTGCATACAAAGTAAAGCCAAAAATGCATGAAGTCAGAAACACCTAAAAATCCCCGAATTGCCCTTACATCACGATAACTAACTATATATATATATATATATGTGTATATATATATATATATATATATATATATATATATATATATATATATATATATATATATATATATATATATATATATATATATATATATATATATATATATATATATATACACACACACACAGTAATACCCCGCTTAACACGGTTTCGCTTAGCGCGATTTCACGTATACCGGTGCCTTGCCAGAGCTGAACTTTCACTTAACGTGGGTTTTTTCCACGTATACTCGCAGAGTGTCCGGCTCGAGAGCTATTTTTAGATTCGCCCCACCCCCCCACCTGCCACCCTGCCTGACTGCCTGCCTGCCTGTTTTAGCTCATAAAATTCATACAAATTACCCGGCCAGAATATAATTTACATTGCTGGAATTCTTACAATATGATGATCATTTTGAATATAAACATCATAGATTTTGCATTAGACATACAAATTTTAGATATAATGTTTACTCTGAGTAAATATGTTATTTTTTGTGCAAAATATATGACATTTGTATTCAAAATATTCCTGGTCTTACAAGGAATCCAGCAATGTCAATTATATTATCCTAACTTTAGTTTGAGGTATTATTTATTACTAAAAAGGTAAATATTCTGGTTTTCCCACACATCTGGTAGGGACGGTTGGTGGGGGGAGGGACCGACCGACCGACCATCTGTTACATTGTGAAGAATATTTTTTTTTTTTTATTAACTGAAGATATTTGTTTTAGCTCATAAAATTCATACAAATTACCCGGTCAGAATATAATTTACATTGCTGGAATTCTTATAATTTGATGATCATTTTGAATATAAACATCATAGATTTTGCATTAGACATACAAATTTTAGATGTAATGTTTACTCTGAGTAAATATGTTATCTTTTGTGCAAAATATATGACATTTATATTCAAAATATTCCTGGTCTTACAAGGAATCCAGCAATGTCAATTATATTATCCTAACTTTAATCTGAGGTATTATTTAATACAAAATGTTAAAATTTAGTTTTTTCACCCAACATCTCTTGAAGGGAGGATTGGTGGGGGGTGGGGGGGAGGGTTGGGACTGACCACGCGGTTGGAAGAGGGGGGAGGCAAGGTGGGGTACTTTGATTGACAGATAGCGTCGTGAAGAATAATTTTTTTTATTAACTGAAGATATTTGTTTTAGCTCATAAAATTCATACAAATTACCTGGCCAGAATATAATTTACATTGCTGGAATTCTTACAATTTGGTGATCATTTTGAATAGAAACATCATAGATTTGGCATTAGACATACAAATTTTAGATATAATGTTTACTCTGAGTAAATATGTTATCTTTTGTGCAAAATATATGACATTTATATTCAAAATATTCCTGGTCTTCCAAGGAATCCAGCAATGTCAATTGCATTATCCTAACTTTAATCTGAGGTATTATTTATTAAAATTTAGTGGTTTTCCCCCCAAAATTTCTCAGAGAGGGAAGAGCCAGCAGTGTAGTGTGAGAAGAGGGGGAGGGAGTTGAGTCCATTATTTGAATGGACATTAACTTGGCGACTGTATTTCTCTACAGTTTTACCCCGCCTAACGCGGTTTCACTTAACGCGTTTTCGCATATACGCGGTGCCTTGCCAAAGCTGAACTTTCACTTAA